TTTTTTTTTTTTTTTTTTTTTTTTTTTGTTAATTTATGAATCTTATGATAGGATTAATAACAAGAATGATCACTGATTAATACTAATTTAATAGTCATTATGCATTGCAGGGGACACAGATTGACTGGAGTGAAATGCCAGTTCACTGAAACTTCGGAGAAAGGAGCAGTGAAACTTCAGTCAAGCGCAGTGCAGTGGTGGTGGTTAAATAGAGAGGGTGGGTGAATGAAGATGCAGCCAAAGAATTTTCAAAGAGATTGGAGGAAGACGCAGGGAAGGTGCGGTGAAGATTTGATCTGAAAGATTCTGAAGCCTCAGCAAAGTTTTTTTTTTCACTGACATTTTCAGACGCACGGAAGGTTCGGTGAAAGATTCCGCCGTTCCTTTGTCCTTTTTTTGGAACCGAGACTGAGATTTTGGCCAGCGGCAGGAAAAACGTAATTGTGATGATGATGACGAAGATGTGATTAGGACGCTGAGCACGTGCCATTAGCAGGCGTGCACACGCATTACGATAATCACCCTGATGGTTACATGATGAGATCATCAGTAATTGGCATGCCTTGGGATGGCATTGCTGGCTCTGATGCATCATCATCGATACCATTAGCACTCAAAGGGTAGAATTATGGACTGTTCATTGAACCTAGACTGGTTGATCCTACAAAGGGATAAGGAAGGATCTGTTGACTAGAGCGGGCATAGGTTGGACGTAGGTAGACAAGCGCATTGAATCAACCAGTCTAGGTTCAATGTACTTCTCGACCTATTCGCAGTAGGAGAGTGGAGAAGGGGTGGAAGGAGGAGCGAGGGAGGGGGGGGAGGGGGGGAGGAGGAGGAAATGAGGACTGTGCTGCTCCAGGTGAGTGGGGATGTGGGGATGAGCGTTGATGTGATTGGATGCTGGGTGAACCTGGATCAAAGGCTGGACCAGGGGGGATAGCACCTTGAGGGTACGGTAGGCCTGAGATTGGCGTAGAGTGACGGGACCTGGTCCAAGTGTGGACCCGGACAGGACGTGGAGGCTACAGTAGGCCTGAGATTGGCATAGTGAATGGACCTGGTCCACAGCCTGGACCAGGAGCAGGACTGGATTTTGTTGCCCCGGAGTAGAGGGCGTGGACAGAATACACAGCAACAGCTTGTCCTGGTCTGTTGCACGAGCGCAGCCCGGTCCAGCTGGATTAGAGCCGGAACCTGGACTTGATTCTGGACCAGGTCTAGATATTAGATACTGGTTCCAAAGTGGTTGCTGGATTTGCACAGGAGTAAAGTGACTGAACCTGGACTGCACACTGGAGACAGTTCATCCTGGTCCGTTGCAGGAGTGGAACCCAGTCCACCTGAATTTTAGACTGGATCTGGACTAGATACTTAAGTGGTGGCTGGTCTTGAATAGGAGAGCAGCAAATTATTAGACTTCAGGCTCAAAAGCTAGAGGCTGTGGACAGGAGTGCAATGCTGGGCTGCTGGATAAGGGTCTGAACCTGGACTTGATCAGGACCGGATTCAAGATGCGGTTGAGACGGGACCTCTGCTTGATTGACCTGGATCAAAGACAGGTGGAGTCTGGGAGTGGAGACGGGACATCGAGTTCAGCGGATCTCGACAGACATTTGAGTCGAGACTGAACCAAGAGATGAGAGCTGGACTGCAGAGTGGAAAATCGACTTCAGCGGATCCAGTCAGCGGCGGTCAGGGGTCAGTGGAGTGGACGAAGAACCGGGGATCGAGTCTGAAGAGCACTGGAGATTTGGGCGGAGAATGGACGTGGACTAAACGACAAGTGGCGAGTCTGGGAGTGGAGACGGAACATCGACTTCAGATCTCGACAGAGACATCTGAGTTGAGACTGAACCGGGAGACGGGACCTGGACTGCAGAGCGGAAATTCGACCGGGATCCGATCAGCGGTCAGTGGACGAAGACGCGCGGCTCGGGTCTGAAGAGCACGGGAAATTGGAGTGGAGACTGGACGTGGACTAAGCGACAAGTGGCGGGTCTGGGAGTGGAGACGGGACCTACTTCAGATCTCGACAGACATTTTTTGAGTCGAGACTGAACCAGGAGACAGGACCTGGACTGCAGACCGGAAATTCGACCGGGATCCGGTCAGCGGTCAGTGGACGAAGAAGTGGGGCTCGGGTCTGAAGAGCACGGGACCGGGTAGTCAAGACTGGACCTGGACTAAACAGGACCAGATAGTGGAGACTGGACCACGACTAAACGACCGACACGCGGCGGGGCTGGGGTTGTGCAGAGAGTGGGGGAGCTCAATGGAAAAAGAACTCGAGAGTCAGTGCCTAGCACTGAACCAGAAAAAACTGAACCAGGGCTGCGGAGTGAATAATAAATAATGCATCCCGATTACCTCATTGGAGGGAAGGCAGAGGCGGAGAAGATTTAACCTCCCGAGGGATAAAAAAGATAATGTGTCCCGATCCTGTCTCATTGCAGGCAGGGCCTGGAGGCTGAAGACAATGGAAGGTTGGGAGAAGAGGAAGCTACGGACATACTGGCCGGCACGAGGACTCGTGTACTTATTTTGTTTGAAATTTGAATGTAATTGCGGCCAGATACATCGAGGTGTTGCCTTAAATGTGGTCAGATGCAGTTAAGAATGTAGTGCTAGTGTGAGTATGCCCTAAACTTCCAAAGAAGTCAAAAGTGTGGAGTTGAAGCCTATACCCAAACAAGGTCGACCAAAGGAAAAAACTCAACCAAAGAAAATTTGGACCATTAGACTGGACCAAAGAAAATTTGGAGAGTCAAACTGGTATAGGCTCCCCAGAATGGAAATGGAGCCAGGGCCATAAGGTCCTGTTTAAAAAAAAAAAAAAAAAGGATAGTCAGACTTGAACCAGGAGCTGTTCGGAATCAGTGGACCAGGTACAGTGGAGTCAGCAGTTTGATAAAACTAGATTGTTTTGAGATTCTGAATAAGATTTTTTTTTTTTTTTTTTTTTTTTTTTTTTTTTTTTTTTAAGTTAAAGGAGGAATTCGGAAGCAGTTCTGGCCACCACGTTGTGTCCAGCGATTCGCCGGAGGAGATGTCCAAATTGCTAGAAACTGGAGCGAGTACCGGAGACCTAATGAATAGGACTGGAGAGCTGGAGGGTAAACAGGTTGGAGTCAAGGGGTGATTGACGAGGGGCTGGGCCCAGGGAAAAAAGTGGGTGACAAGAGAGCGAAGGCGGATTGAACGAACAGACACAGTGGAAGCGGAACCTGGATCATTGACAATCTGTTGAGAGGAGCAGAGGCAGCAAGCGGAATGCATCTGACTGCAAATTACGGTCACAAGCGGAATGCATCTGCCCGCAATCATGTCCAGAGCTCAGTCCAAAAGGTCCTCGTGTGAGTATGGGAGGGAATGGAATAAGAACTAGAGCTAAAAGAGTGGATGAGGAACCTGGACGTGGAGCGGAGCCTGGAATGGAATCAGAACCTGGAGTGGAAGCAGAACCTGGATCTATCAGTTCATTGGCGCAGAGGCAGCAGGTGAACCTGGAGTGGAATCAGAACCTGGATCTATCTGTTCACTGGAGCAGAGGCAGCAAGTGAACCTGGAGTGGAATCAGAACCTGGATGTATCTGTTCACTGGAGCAGAGCCAGCAAGTGAACCCGGAGTGGAACCCGGAATTGAATCAGAACCTGGAGTGGAACCTGGAATGGAATCAGAACCTGGAGTGGAATCAGAACCTGGAGTGGAATCAGAACCTGGAGTGGAGTCAGACCTGGATCTATCTGTTCACTGGAGCAGAGGCAGCAAGTGAACCTGTTGTGGAATCAGAACCTGGATCTATTTGTTCACTGGAGCAGAGGCAGCAAGTGGAGATCGGGGACTTGAACGGGACTCAGGACCTGGGACAGGTCGGTGTCAAGACCGGACTGACCAGTTGGATGGTCGAAAAACGTGGATAAGAACAGTGAACCTGGACAGTGAACCTGGATGGGACGGAGGGGAACTGGAACCTCGATCTATCTATTCACTGCAGTGGAGGTAACAAGTGGAGATCGGTCGGGGGACTTGAATAGAACTCGGGAGAGGGGACCTTTGTTGATGCAATGTTGCAGTGGTGTGAGGAGGAAGGATTGGGTAGGTAGGACGGAGGCTGGAGGAAAGAGAGGAAGAGGAGGAGAGGGAAGAGGTGTTGAGGCGAGTTGGTAAATTACTGTATCATAGTTTATGAGAGCGGAAAATGACGAAGCATGTAATCTTTGAGAGGCGGGTGCGTCCCCTTCTCGTTGTTCATTTATGGAGAGTGTGCTTTGCGTTCAACCTCGCAATCTTGATTACTAGTGTGAACTGCATAGTTGATGTTTTTAAAGTGAGCCCTTCATCGACCTCGACGGGGACTCGAACCCAGTTGACGGTGTGGTTATCGTTGTCACATTGCGAGCTTGAACTTCTCAAAACACGAATACAACCACCTGAGGGACTGGAAGGGGCACAAGACGGAGGGTCAGAAGGAGGAGGAGGAGGAGGAGGAGGAGGAGATAGGGGAGGCGAACCTTACGATAGCGAAGGTACTACCATAATCAATTCGCATGAACCATTCGGTCTTCGAGGGGGTCTCAACACTCAGACTGAGTCCATTCCTGGGACCCCGATGTTCCCCTCGATTAGGGCTTTCTGTCGCCTCCATCCGTATCCAAACATGTCCGGATTGGGATCTGGATCCGAGTTGGGATTGGGGAATGACCTGTTGGATCCCGATCCAACGGACTGCATGATACGGATGGAGGATGTGAATGTGGTAGGGAACTGTGAAGCCCCGGCGATCATGCAGAGAACTGTCGTGACCACTGGGTACTTGTACATAACATTTGGGGTGAACTTCACGGAATGCGGGTGTGGGAACGTGAGAGGAGGGGTGCAGTTGAAGGAGGAGGATGGGAGTGAACAATGTCAGGGAGAGATGTTTCCACTAACATATGATCCACCACCCAAAGGTCTCAAATTCCACAAGGAAGTCATGTGGATGTTGGGGGTGCTGTTTTTCATAATCCTGCCGGTAGCAGCGTTTCTCCTACGACGAAGGCGATCAGCAGTCAACGACCAAGAAACGACGAACAGTGGGCGGGAAGGAGGAGGAAGAGACAGGGACATTGAGGAAAGATCTCGAGGTGAAGGAGGAGTAGGAGTAGGAGGGGGGAGAATGCACACGACTCGACAACAGGAAGTGGGTGGAAGTGCTTCTTCGGGCGTGTCTCGGGTGGTTGTCTTCCCGGCTGAGTGCTGTGTGTTCATCATGCCGCCCAATTCCAGAAGACTACCATATCTAGGTGTGAAAGTCCTGATTGATTCTGGTGACATGATCGGGGGAAGAGAGGGAGAACTGGAGGAGGAGGAGGAAGAGGAAGAGGAGGAAGAGGAGGAGAAGTCGGGAGAGGTGATGACTTGTGACCGGGGTTTGTTTCGCACTTTGGCAATCGGTGCAGAGAGGCTCGATCCCTTGCCTAATTGGGACGGAGTCTTCGCACACGTCTCGTCAGCTCATCAGAGAGAAGACTATGTCCTCTCAGGCGAAGCGACGGCTGGTTGTAACAAGAAGGAGAATTATGGAAGGATAGAAGCTTCCGCTGGACCCAACAACAGCCGTCATGATAGCCAATTGCTCTCCGACCATCTTGTGGATTCCCCACCCCCTCCTCTTTCGCCTTTTCCTAGCAACTTGTTAAATGCCAGCGATGGGCTAGAATGTACTGCGACGGGAAGCACAGCTGTACGGACGCACACGGATGATGGAATCGTATCAAGACCGATGGATGCAACGGTGGATGGTGAGGAGGATACAGAGGAGAAGGAGAAGGAGGAGAAGGCGAAGGACAGGGAGGAGGAGAAGAAGGAGGAGGAAGCCATTCTCCCGCACTCCCAGAGCCTGGAGGAGAAGTTGGTCGCCAGTGAGTCGCACAGCAGCTGCAGACCGGCCGGCTGTGCGGCAGACTGTAGCGGCGCAGGAGAAGGCAGAGTTGAAGAGCAGACTGCGGTGCCCAAACAGTCAAAAGATGCCGATGTGGGACAAAGTTTGCGACACGGGGATGAACCGGACGACGCGGAAAGAAGAGAGGGAGTGGCTTGGCGCGCAGTGTCGCTATCACATTCTCATCAGCTTGATGACCTCGGTAGCAGCAATGGCAAAAATTCCAGGAATGGCTTCGCGCGACGTGGTGCTTGCACAGAAGAGAGGGGCAGGGATGATAAGGTGGAGGGGGAGGAGGAGGTGGTTGTCGACACTCGTCCAGTGTGCGGCGACGAGGAAAGAGCGACCGGTGGCAGGTGGGGCAAGGAGGAGGTGCTCGACAAGTGTGTGATGGACGCTGGGCGGACGAGTGACAGGACAACCGACGGTGACTCCCAGACTTCGACCGGATGTCATCCTGTTATGGATGGTGGGGTGGAGGGTATAGGTGGGGAGAGGGAGACTATTCTAGGAGAGGTGGGTGGTGGCAGTCCTCCTCCTCCTCTCTTCGATCAGGAACGGACGACATTGGTGACGTCATTAACGGCTCCTGTCGTGTGCGACGCTGCTGCTGTGTGCGGCGTCCAGGCAAAACGGACCACAATCGACGAGAGCTTGAGGACGATGATGACGACGACAACTGATCTGGGTCATGGTGCTGCCCACTTATGCAACAACGGAGGACAGTGCGGTGATGCCTCGTCTAGGGAGCTGTTGTATGCCGAACAGCTGCAGAGAGAGGAGGAGAGGAAGGACAAAGGTGGCGGTGATGGCAGCTGCAGCGGTCGTGAGGAGAGAGAGCGAGAGGCGGGCAGCGATTCACGGCGTTCGTCACCTCCTCCTGCTCTCCCCTCTCAGCACCGGCCACCGCCTCCGAGATGTCCTCCGTCCCCACGGCCTCCTCCCCTGTCACGGGCTCCTCCTCCTCCCCCTCCCCCTCCTCAATCGCCATCACTGCAAAGCACTTGGCATCAGGAACAGGGGACCGCTGATCGCCGTCAGGATTGGGGGAGTGCGGATTGCCATCGGGATGGCGGCCATGGGGATCATCAGGAAGAGGAGGATATCGAGTCCCGGTTGCTGAGCTCTACCGAGGTCGGCGTGCTTGAGGTTACAGCAGGAAGTGGTGGTGGGCGGGAAAGGAGGACTTCTCCACCTCCCTCTCCATCTCCTTCTCCCTTTTCCTTGGAAAGAAGGAAAGGGGGAAGTCCGGAGAGGACAAGGGCTGCTTCGCCTTGGGGCCGTCCTCCTCCTCCTACCGTGAGTAGCAGTGCCTGGCGATCTTCAGACAAGATTGGCGCCGGGCACTGGAATCTTCTTCCCAAAAGTCCTGGCCGAAACGGCAACGGTGGCGCTGACCAAGAGCCTCAGGGGGCGACGTCCAGCCGCAACTTTATGGCTGTAGGTCGTCGATGGACCGTAGAGAAACGCAAGGAGGTAATGGGAACAGCGCTGAGCGCTTTCTGTGCTCTGACGTCAAGGGATCGATTCCCAGAGGAGTCGGCACATGGGACCCGGCGAGCGGCCAACGACACTGGAGGAGCGACTGTACGTCGCCGCGCAAGCGTCAGTTCAGCGGCGTCACACTTGGAGGGCATCGGTGAGCAAAGGGAGCAGTCGAGGGGGCTAGCAGGAAGAGGAGGAGGAGGTGAAGGAGGAGGAGGAGGAGGAGGAGGAGGAGGAGGAGGAGGTGCTAGTAGTGCTGGTAACAGGAGTTGGACTGCTGTCAGTGCCAGCTGGGATCGAGTGCCCGGCCAGCGAAGGGTACAGTCGTCAAGGGAAGCTGGAGGTCGGACTACTGTTGCCATGGCAGGAGGCTTGACGACCGGTCGTCTGTTCGATCAGCCTCTCAGTGAGAAGGTCTATCGAGTTAGTCTAGCACGGTCGGGGGAGCAGGGCTTTCGTGATCTTGAAAGTTGCAGTGGGGGAGGTAGCAGGCATAGTGGCGCCCATCGCCTCGTCTTCCCTGTGCAAAGTCGAGAGAAACAGAGGGATAGGAGGGGCAGGAATAGCCAAGAGTTGTCTGAAGAAGGGGCAGAGGAGATCTTAGGAGCTGGAGAAGGGGAAAGGGGCCTTAGGGAGGAGGGGACACTGCTCCTTCATGGCAATCGGAATGACAAAGAAGGCAGAGTGCCCAGACGGATCTCGAAGTCCCCCGCTTTGAGAAGGGTTCACTCAGATTCTCTCGCTAAGGAATTGATCTTACTGGACGGCCAGGCTGCTAGAGGCGTAGAGGTCGGGGAGGGAGGTTCAGCTGGTGTCAGAACTTCTGCCTCTCGCAAGAAAAGCCACAGGAGTGATGATGATGATGATGATGAGGAGGAGGAGGAGTACTTTGACGGACAGCAGCATCATGATGAGAACGATGGTGATGATACGCACAGCGCCGGGAGAAAGTTCTTATCTTCTGTGCCCCTCCTCAGAGGCAGTCCCAGCAGTGATGGACCCAGCCCGTCGTTTTCCAAAGGTTTTGGGTTCCGCCGAAGCAGGAGTGTCGATGGTCGGATCATGAGCAGGAGCAGCAGCAGGAGCAGGAGCCTGGGTAGGAGCAGAGGACAGCCGAAGGATTTTGCAGAACTTACAGACATGCCCTTACTCTGCAGGAGTGCGGCTAGCCCTGGTGAGAGCTGGGCTTCGTGGGGCAGTGCGATCGGGAGCCCCGCGGGGTCCACGGCTGAGTACGCGAGTTACGTGAGTGGTGAATTCAGGGAGCAGGACGAATCGCCATGGCTGCCTTTGTCGTCCTCAACTGACTTCCAGAGCCCTCGGAGCTGTGTTTGACAACAACCATGGACAGACTGCAATCGTCAACGTGGAATTGAAGTGCAAGTTACGGACTTGCTGGAGCACTGGATGCGCTATGTGGAGCCTGGAGGACTCACTGAGGTGCAGTTGGCTAGGAGGAGGAGGCAACGGCACCAAGATGCAAAAATTTCTTCTTCAACAGACTTCCAAATCCCTCTCAGCTAAGGCAGCTTTGCTTGACAAGCGATGGATCGACCATGGGTATCGCATGAAGCGGCACGTTAATGGATCGACCCAAAAAAATTTCCAGCTTGCGGGTGCTAAAAGGGTGCTGCAGAGTCAGGAGAGGGTTCACTAATCGGCTTGTTAAACCACCACCAGTACCTCCACGTTTTTAGGCCGTTAACGCGGTGGCTGAATCGGTGCGCCGCACGGGTCCATGTGCATTTGCATCAGTGCCTCCCCAGAGGGGGCCTAAGACCCCCTGGGGTACTGGTGGTGCAATCTACCTGAAAGTTTCCAGCTTGCAGGAGCGATGAGTGCGTTGGAGAGTCGGGAAGGGTTCACACAACTTCGCAGCAATCTCAGTAGCAAACTCAAGCAGACGGAAGCATTGCTGTTGACGCATTTGTCGTCTTCAACACGTTCCACAGTCATCTTGACTTTTTGCGTGTACTTTGTGGTCGTTACGTGAATCGGCTTCTTAAACCACCAGTACATCCGAGCCTCTTTTGCGGAGGGGGATTCGATTCCCCCTGCGCGCCAAGCTTTGCCGAACCGCCAGCGTGGCCCTTTTTTTTTTCCTTTTCTTTGGCTCGCGCCGCCAGCCACTTTGGTCCGGTATCCCCGCGGCCCCCAAATTTTCAGATTGGCTCGAATTTCGATTCTCAGTTTCAACCGGGCGGTGTACTGGCAGGCACAGCTTCATCGACCTGAAATTTCCAGCTTTCAGGAGCATCGAGTGTGCTGTGAAGTCCGCCGCGGATCGCTGCTGGACCGTCACCGGTTAACCCGTGGAGATCGAGAGTCGAGAGATTGCTGTTTTTGCTATCGATGTCGGATTCCGCAGACTTACGGAGACCTCGCAACTTTGCTCGACTCAAACAACAATCAATGGATCAACGGATTATATAGTCATTGCCTGAGCCACCTCGTTAATCGCCTGAAATATCCAAACTTGCAGAAGCAATGAGTGTGTGTGCTGCAGAGTCCACGACGAAGATGGATCGCATCAATACTGAATCATTACTGAGTCTACTGACGCATTTGTCGTCTTCAACAGACTTCTAGAGCTCTTGCAGCTCTGCTTGACATGGTGGGTGGACGACAATCATCATATCAACTGGCTTGTTAATTAACCAACCTTGAGAGTTTTCTCCCAGCTTGCAGGCAGCAGCAGCAGCAGCAAGCGGGCTGGTGAGTTGGGGATGAGGGTGGATGTATTGCTGTTGCTGCTGTTATCGTTTTTCGATTGCTGTTGCTGCCGTTATCGTTTTTCGATTGCTGTTGCTGCCGTTATCGTTTTGAAGTTTTTTTCGATTGTGGGAACCGTTGGGTTCCTCTCGTACCAACTGGACTAGGCCAGTTGGTTTGAACCAAGGGTTTCGAATTACTACTGTGATGACGCTGCATGAGTTGGTGGACGAGGGTAAGACTTCCGTTTTTTCTTCTTCTTCTGTTTTTCTTCTCTTTCGTTCTTCCCTGCCTTCCTGCCTTCCTTCCCTCTTCCTCTTTTTCTGTTTTTTTTTTTTCCCTTTCTAAAAGAGCCAGGGGCAACATGCATATCATCATTTGAGCTGGCCGCCCCTAGGCAATTCAGAATGATTTTATTCTGGTGGTCATCTGATAGTATCTGGATTCGAACTCACGTCTGCATTTTTTTCAACAGTTCATGGGTGTGCCAACTGAGCCAGGCTCAGTAGGGTAAACCTAACCTTGCTGTCAGTAGGGTAAAACTTACCTCTGGGTTTTGTTGTTCAGTAGATTAGTAGAAGTTAAAGCTAACCTCTGTGGTTGGTTCAGTAGGGTAAAACTTACCTCTGGGTTAGTAGGGTAAACCTAACCCTGCTGTCAGTAGGGTAAAACTTACCTCTGGGTTTTGTTGTTCAGTAGATTAGTAGAAGTTAAAGCTAACC